TTTTAAAATTTAATATATTTTAGAAGCATACAGGTAATCAGGGGAAATTCTAACTTTGTATTTCCTTTGGTTTGTCATCTTCTCGGGGTCTGTTTAATTTTATATAATATTATACATGAGGACGGCAGAGGCCCATCATCTCAATGATTAGAGTCTTTTTGATCTTTATATAATATTGATAACTCTATCCAAAGCATTTTTTCTTTATCTCACAAGATTGCAAGCGAATCCTTTAAAATGATAATTTAATACCTGACAGGTACTACCTTAGGTTTGTGACACTGTATTTAATGCTTATATGTATAGCAATTCATTTAAAGTCACAGTAGCCCTATAAAGTGTGTGGAGCTGAAAGGAGTCCAAAGAGTAGTCCACTTATGAATCACCGTGCCAACTCTGCAGCTGACTGAGCGCTGTTAGCCCAATGATTCCCTCTGCTGCTCTCCTATTTTCTTATACGCAGAATTCTTACCCATCCGTGTTAAATAGATTTCATCTTACAACCCAGTTCTTATACCAGGAACTGCACATATCTGCTGAGAAAACCCCTCCCCCAGATATCTGTTTTCCTCGTGAAGGGGGAGGGCAAGTTGACTGGTAGACAGACTGCCCAGAGCAAATTCTCGGAGCTTCAATCTCTGACATCTCAGCTCTGCGTGAACCTAGCAAGCCAAAGTTAAGGGTCGAGAGGGGGAGGGGAAATGTGTCATCTGAAACAAGGAATGTGTCACAGCGTGGGGATGGGGAGTTACGGATCCTCGGTGTGTCTCTTCCTATCAGGAACCGGACGCCTTCGACGTTTCTGCTTATTAAAAGAGGAACTAATCTTTGCCTAAGACACCAAGTATTCTGGTTTGAATTCGGAGCAAAGACTCCTGCCTATCTTTCTGATGGTAGGATATTGCACAAGGTAGAAAGGAAATGGGGTGTCGGGGAGGAGGATTGTGAAGCAGAGTGAGGGAGCTCAGGGACCTCCTGGGGCGCCGGAAGGAGTAGCTTCGAGGAGGGGGTGGAAGGTGCCACAAAGGAAGCAGGTGGGGAGGGAACTAGGGAGTCCTTTTTCCACTCGCTCTGGCTGGATCCCTTCGAGCCGGCATCCCCGGCTCCCCGGGGTGGGCGACAAGTCCCCGGCTCCCCGGGGTGGGCGACAAGTCCCCATGCCACGTTTGCATTGTACTCAGAGCAAATGGCGCCTCCTGCTGCAGGCAGAGGCTCTGC